AATGAATGAATGAATGAATGAATGAATGAATGAATGAATGAATGAATGAATGAATGAATGAATGAATGAATGAATGAATGAAAATTTAGAGGTTACACTTAATGACTATTTATTTATCTGAATATTGTTACTGTCAGTCGTTCAATTGTTTAAAAAAATATAAAAATATTGTCAAGTTGTACTAGACTCTATATATATTTTTTTAATGTTACCGTGTATTGTTTTAAGTAAAATTTAATGCCAGGTTTCGTGTGGACTTTGCCACTAAGATATATAGTAGCAAGCATCATTTTAAAAGAGAGACCAAAAGCACCGGTAATAACAAATTATGGACTTGCATCGTTTAGATTTGTGGTTGTTGAACTATGGCAGCGTATAAATGCAAACGGTAGATACATTGCTTCTTTTAATTTAATTCGTTCTGTTTTTGTTGGGGGTTTTTTGGAGGGGAGGGGTTATTATTTTTTTTATAATTTGGTTGACAAATGGATGCACTTTGGCTTGCCAGTAAATCTCTGAAGAATCCAAATAAATCAATAAATTGTCATGTTCACTCTCATAAGACTAGAGGGTGTCACTAGCTTTTACATGTATTTATTTCCAATTTTTTTGTAAATTCTGCTCGTAGTTCTGTATCATCGAAATACTTTTAAATACTTTTAAATATTTTTATTACGTTTGGGCATTGCTCTTTAACAACTCTAAACTAAATCTAAATTAAAACTAAACAGTTGTATTATTTAAGCCATTAATACAAACGACCTTTCTCCTCCTCTTACACGTTCGTCTACCTCTCATTTATAACTCCAGAAACTGATCCGGAGATTGACCGATTAATAATATGCTGACAAATACACTGATCAAATAACATGGTAAACAATAGAGTCTAAGCCTATGTTTTTTAAGAGAACTTGGCTGGAATTATGGGAGAGGTACCGGAGATAGACTCGCAGTGATTAAACACAAAGTAGTGAAACTCATTACACCACACGACATCGGTCTGCACTTGTATGCAAATAGACATGATCGTGCGGACATAATCAAAAGAGAGGCGTGAAAGTTGACGGGTCATTGATCGTTTACCTTCCTAGCTCATAGCATCCCATCACAATCATCACCTCCAATATTATTTAATCAGTTCTGTGTGTCTTTTGTGTATTGTGTGACTACTGAAATCTGTCCAGGGTGAGAAATAGAATAATTACAAGATTGATCTTGTCCTAAATGGAGGGGAATTTTCTTTCTTTTTTCTTTTTAACTTGGTTTATTTTTAATTTAATTTAATTTTAGTTAGTAAATTTTATTTTATTTTATTTATTCAT